GCACAGGAAGTTCCGTCTGAACATGAGGAAGAACTTCTTCCCTCTGAGGGTGACGGAGCCCTGGCCCAGGCTGCCCAGGGAGGTTGTGGAGTCTCCTTCTCTGGAGATATTCAAGACCCGCCTGGACAAGATCCTGTGCAGCCTGCTGTAGGTGACCCTGCTTGGGCAGGGGGGTTGGACTAGATGACCCACAGAGGTCCCTTCCAACCCCTACCATTCTGTGATTCTGTGATCCACTCGCCTGCTCTCGCGCCAGTTCCCCAGGGCTGTGAGAGTCTGGTGCCTTCGCTGCAGCTCAGCACCTTCAGCTAAGGACCATCCTGCTAAGGACAGTGCAAGCTGAGGCACTCGTCTTTCACGTGTGAGCCAACGGAGACGGACACAGCGGGATCTAGCTCTGCTCTCGTGGTCCAGGGCTCCCCACCCCCCCCCTGCGTGCAGGCAGCTGAGCAGCAGACTCTGCTCCATAAAGCGAGATCAGGTGAACAAGAGTTAACTGCAAGGAGCAGAGATCCTCCTTTCCTGCCTGCACTCATCCCTCCCCCACCAGCCAATCCTTTTTGACAAATACCTGCCAGCGGCATTTCTCTGCTCCCCACTGCATTCTTAGTATCAGGCAGGAAAATTACTCTTAAATCCTTGACTTCCTGCTGGACTAATGCTAATGCAGAAGGCTAGTAGGATCCTGCCCATGCTCCAGATCCCCCCAGCCCAGCCAAACTCCCAAGCTCCGGTTTTGTGAGCAAATCTCACATCTTGGCTCCAGACAACCGAACCTTTCGTTTGCCAACGGTCGCAACTGCCGCAGGTTTGCTCCGGCGCGGAGGAGCGGGGCAGCACAGGCAGATACTCACTCTGTGTCAGCACGGGCTCCCCGCTGGCGTTCTGGCTCTGGTTGGAGAGGCTGGGGCTCTTCTTCAGGTTCATCTTTCACCTGGGAGACCGCGTCTTCAGGTGCAAGGGGATCAGTAGATTGACCTAAAAAAAAAAGTATGAGTCAGAAGGGTTTTATCTCAGCTCATTCTCAGTGCTGGTACTCAGGGGAGCTGATCAGCGGCGCCAGCCGCTCGCCCGTGGTCAGGATTGCGGCTGAACTTGCCCAGGAAGCTCAAGGACAGGAGACAGCCGAGGCTGGCAAAGCCAGAAGTGATTATGGTTTTTCACACCCATGCTAACGAGTCTGTTCTGCAGATAAACTCAAAGGAAGAGCCCAGAGAGGCTCTGTTCCCACACACTCATCCCTCCTATTGCTCCATGCCAAGACTTGGGAAGATCGCAGTTTGCTACCCCTGTGCTAACGCTGCAGCGCAAGGACCAGGGCCACGGCCTTTGCAGGGTCCCCAAAGCCCAGGAGTGGTGACACAGCCAGTTCTCCTGTCACCAGAGCACCGTGCCAGGGTGCCGAGGGCCCCGCCGCGTGCGGGACGAGGCTGCGGACTCCCGGCTGCAGAGCGGGACAGCAGCTCACCTTGCTCTGCAGACTTTTAATCTGCAGATTCTGCTTGTCCAGCTTGTACTGCTGCTGCTTGATCTTCTGCAAGAGCTCCTCGATTCGCGAGTTCTGCGCATCCATCAGGGACTGCGGGGGAAGAGCCAGTGAGCCCCGCGGCTCCGGGGAGATCCGGCTGCGCTGCACGTACCGCACGGAGCCAGGCGGGCCAGACCCCTTCAGCAGGTCCCCACGGGTGCTCCCAGTGCCCCCATGACCATCCAGTCTCCCCACTGCTCTCCTGAGGCTGGTTCCCCCCCTACCCCGTGTCCTGGGAGGGTCAGGTGTCCCCCCTGCCACGTGTCCCGGGAAGGTCGGGTCCCCACAGCTGCCCCCTCCCAGCTGCTCCCGTTGCCTCGGGAGGGTCTCGTCCCCCATC